AATGATTCGCTAATGATTTGGGTTTTTGCCATTACTTTTCCTTTTCACTGACTTTTCAAAAAAGCAAACAGGATAATTAAGATAAAGGTTTTAATGTAGAATAATGCTGGCCATACACTTATATTTTTGTGCAAAATGTTCAAATGAAAAAACTCATCACAGCATTTGATGCCAACAGAGAGTTGAGGAATGCCATTCAAAATGTTATTTGATTTTAACTTTCAATTTTGGAAATGAATGGAGTTTCTTGAATTAAAACCACATTCACTGTTAAAATTCCCAAACATTCAAGAAAAACTTCCCATTCTGCTCTTTTGATTTGTTTCTTCGCTGCATTCAGAAATGATCATCGATTTGAACCTATAAACTATAAGAAAATCAAACGTTCTGGAAACAAATCTTTCAAAAGAAATTCTACTGGTGTATAGTCAGCTTTACACTTTTGGTAATTAAATAGAACCTTTTCATAGATACAGTATCTGTACAACGGACCAAAAAGAGGGACAACTGAGGAGGAAAGAGGGACAGAGGGATTTGGTTCCAAATGAGGGACAGTCCACTGAAAGACATTAGCGAGGTATGTTGTCCCAATAAAGCCTATTAAAAAAATGCAATTTTACGAGCAGCTATCAAGTCCAAAATGGCTAACCCATAAAATCCATGTTTGTGCAGCACAGTGGCATAGTGGTTAGCACTTCTTTCTTGTAGCCCTGGGGGGTTCCCGGTTCAAATTCTAGTCAGGACACTATCTGCAAGGAGTTTGCATGTTCTCCCTGTGCTTGTGTAGGTTTCCTCTGAGTACTCCATGTTCCTCCCACACTCCAAAGACATGCTGGAAAGTTAATTGTTTGCTGTCTAAATTGGCTCTGTATGTTTGTGCATTAGGGACCTTGTACATTGTAAGCTCCTTGAGGGCAGGGACTGCTGTGAATATGCAGGCCCGGCGCTACCACAGGGCAAGGCAAGCCTGAGGGCGCTGCAGGGTGAGGGCGGAAAAAACAGGGCATTTTGACAAGTACTTGTCCCGACACGCGCGGCACCTCTGGCAGTCGCCGGCCAGCTAAATTAGGACCCCACCTGGAGCTCCTCCCACCGGACCAGCGCTGACTGGCCGCTGCTCTCCCGCAGCGAAGGTAAGTGAAGAAACATGCTGATAGGGAGCAGGCCCAGCGCTACAGGGGGTCGGAGAGGGGGTTGGGAGGGGGCGCAAAAATTCAACGTTGCCTCTGTAGGCAAAAATCCTAGCACCGCCCCTGTGAATATGCAGTATGTAAACTGCTGTGCAAAGTGTTGGCTCTATATAAATACCTATAATAATAATAGTTTAGTTAGATCAGTATAAAAATCTCCCAGCCCCTTCAAATTATATGCGTTGATTGGGGTTTTCAGCAACCGAACAATGCCAGTCACTGCAAGGGCACCCAGAACACAACACAGTGATGTGCAGACCACACTGCTGTGCAGACGTTAATGGTTTGTATACTCTATATGAAGTTAAAAAAATAAAATAAAACAGTAAACAGTGTGATGTGCTGAGACGCATCACACCGCCCACCCAGTAGAGCATTTTAGCAGCCCAGCTAGTGTGAATGAGCCCTGACTGTTTGCTAACAGATACCGCACCTCACCAGTTGCTGGCATTCTCCTCACTTCACAGTGCCTACATTTTTCGAGTTTTATTTTAATTACACAGCCTCAACCAGTTACGAGGTGGAACACAGAGACCGAAAAGAAAAAAAAACATGTTTATTAAAAGTAGGCTGTAATAAGTTTAAATAAAGTCTGCATATGAAAGAGTGAAACTCCAGCTGGGAATCCCTGTGGAGCTGAGAAGAAGAAGCAAAAACAAAACCACTAAAAGCAACAAAAGGAAAATAAATTGTGGAGTAAAAACTACTGTAAACGAGAGAAATGGGAGCACCAGCAAATCCACAAAGCAAGCAAGATGCCGGCAATTTATGTGTTCCAGAAAGTTACAATATTGCACTAGTTAATTAAAAGCTTTTATACGAAGCATAAAAAAAGAACAGCACAAGAGAAATTAATCTTTAAGGTATTTGCGCAATGGAACGGCAACTGCAATGGAAGAAATCTTCATCTATATGCATATATGAAATATAAAATATTCCATATTAAAGTTTTAACAACCGCAAGTTTGTTCTGGTCTGGACATGATCCGGACATGGTGTGAACAAGCCCTTGGAGTACTACTGAAGATCTGCTAAAAGTAAAGTGAAACACTATGAATTGTCTATTCAAGTACTCATTTCCTCAAAACTGCAATTTTGAAGTCATGTCAAGAGAGAGCAAGGAACGTTTTCCCTCAAAATGATGGTTTGGTAACACTGACATGTGCCCTACTGATTTACATGAAATGCAAATTTTATAACAGGTCCACTTCAAAACTCAACTGAAGTTTCAGTTTAAATCAGCTAAATCCAGGTGCATTCAAAACAACAATAGCAGCAGCAACAACAAAAACACTAAATAGATGTACAAAATCTAATAGTTCATTTTGTTTCTAAGGCCCATTCACATGCGAGGAGAGGTTTGTATACGCCAGATCTCTGCAACCCCTGCATACAGCCCGTTTGTACAAATCAATGGTAGCCAATGGCTGCTATCACAAGGGCCCTTGCTCTTTGTGTGGAGTGAGGGGTCTCTACCCAGAGGTCTAACAGATCCCCTAGTGAGCAAAGCTCATGCAAGAGGTGTGTCTGTCCACTCCAGAGAGACCACTGCATCCACAAAGAGAGCAGTGGCTCTTTTCTACAGCATGCTGGCAGGGTCAGGCGTGTCCCATAGGCTGTGTGGTTGCTTTAGGGCTCAGAGGTCTGTGTACTGTAAAAAGACAGTAGAAAGGTAGATGCTGTTTCAAGCAAGACCGTTTACTTCCAGGGATGTACATCTGTACCTGCACACAAGTATACACCCAGAGTTGCTTTTACTATCATACAGCCGCAGCTTTTTATTGATTGGTATGGGCATGCTTGTATGGAAGCATAAGGTTTGTTTACTAGGGGCGTGTTGGACCCCTGCAGAGAGAGCACTGCATCCACACAGAGAGCAGTGGTCCTTTTCTACAGCATGCTGGCAGGGGGCAGGCTTGTCCATAAGGCTGTGTGGCTGCTTTAGGGCACAGAGATCTGTGTACTGCAAAGAAACAGTAGAAAGATAGATGCTTCTCCAAGCAAGACTGTCTACATCCAGGGACGTACATTTATACCTGCATACAAGTATTCGCTCATAGCTGCTTTTACCAGCATACAGCCGGAGCTTATCATCGAATTGTACAGGCATGCTATATGTAACACCTGTGGGCACAGAGATCTGGACTTTTTTTTACAGTGCACAGATCTCTGAGCCCTAAAGCAGCCACAAAATCTGATGGCCCAGCCTAACCCCTGCAAGCATGCTGCAGAAAGGACCACTGCTCTCTGTGTGAAAGCAGTGGACTCTCTGCAGTGGACAGACATGCCCCTTTCGTGGAAGCATGAGTTTTATTTACTAGGGGGCATGTTGGATTTTTGTGGAGAGGCCACTGCCTCCACACAGAGAGCAAGGGTTCATCTGACAGCATGTTGACAGGGTACAGGTTTTTCTACTCTGAGGCTGCCTTCAGAAAACAAAATGTAAGACTTTGCACATCTTTTGTTTTTATGCACCTGAAATATATTAAGCTGATTCAAACTGAGAGTACATTTGGGCTTTAAGCCAAATTAATGGAACTTAGAACAGTGAATGTGCTCCCTGGATAGAATGAGCAGTTTGTTGATTGACCTTGTTTATTGCCTAGACCTAGAGTCTCTATATAATAGAGGCAATTTGAAAGGAAAATAATGTTAAGCGCAGTTCTAAATAAACTTAGCTTCCTTTAGTCATCCTATTGTACATGACACTTTATTCTACCAGTGTGAATAATGCACTCAGACCAGACAAATTCCTTTTAAAGCATCAGATTGATATATCGTTCACCGATTGCTCTCCCTTGTCACCGCAAAGACAGTTTTTTTTTTATTGTGGAAACTATCTAAGCTTTTTCAAATAATGCACACTGTAAAAAAAACAGCAAAGTACTAACCTTTCAACCACTGTACAGCCTTTGCAGACTGCTCTATCCATTATGCTTAATTGGCATCCGCACAATAAAATACTTCAATTCTGAAGAGTATTAATTACTAGTTTATGACTCTGGGTTCTATTATTCTGGCAGTGCAGAAGAGACCATAAAAAGCCTGGCATTTTCCTGCACAAAGGGGCAGTATACGTTATGTGTGATTCATGAAACTTTCATTAATATTTCAGCTCATGTGGCTTTAGTCAAGCGGAGTGGAGAAAGCAGTCTATTCCTTTACACTTTCTCTCCCATCTCTTTTTTATGTACACAGGATTCTTGGATTTTCTGCAGGTTTATTTTTGTAACAAAGTAAAAAAGGAGGGGAAATGCATTTGCCATTTAGGCTGCTGGTGCACTGTAAATTGATGCACAAAAGTCAGCGGAAGAGACTCATTTCAATAACAACCAAATGCCTGAAGATACAAATGAATTGCATACACTATATGGACAAAAGTTTGTGGACACGCTACCACCACTATATGAATTTCTTGGCCATCCCATTATATAACCATGGGCATCAGTATAGAGTCCCTCAACTCCTTTTGCAATTCTAATGGGAAAGCTTTTAACCAGATTTTGGTGTGTCTTTGGGAATTTGTGTCCATTTGGACAGAAGAGCATTTGTGAGGTCAGGTACTGAAGTTGGACGAGAAGACCTGGTTCTTCTCAACCTAGGCAATGTCAGTGATTGGAGCTCAAAGACAGCTTTTTACTGATAAAAGAGGGAGATTGGCTGAAAATTGGAACATTTGTTGCATAATGAGGCATGCCAGGAATTAATTCACGCAGATATGTAAAGCTACTGAAAGCCCCACTTCAAGGCCTAATTCACATGGACGTGCATATTCATATAGCATGCACGTCCAAGCAGAGACCTACGCACCGGAAGGGCACCTTCAAGTGTAAATCCGTGCAGCCGCCTTTGCATCTCTATGACAGGATTCAACTGCATGCAGCTACACACCAACCCAAACTTGCACATCCTGTAGAGTTATAGATGCAAGCCCATGGACGCAGACAGTCTGAATCATTAATAAAGGGTGCCGCGGTGATGGAGAGGGGCCATGACACCCTGCATTCTTAGTATGTTCTCACTCTTCCATGCTGAATGACAATGAGCATAATTCAATCTGGAGTTGGACTTTAAGCTGTTTTCCAATCTTCTTTTATAGAGTATATAAGCACTGAAAAGGAAATGTATTATTTTTAAATGCGCATTCTGCAGTATGTAGAACCTTTATCTCTTAACTCGGGGAATCCAGAAATGGTTTTTATATAACTAAAGGCAAAGAAAAAACAAATTTAAAGAACAGCACAACACTTTAAAATGTGAAAGGTTATCCATGAGTCATTTAAAAGTGTTGTATCTGTGGTATAAAATCCCAATCATGCCACAACAGTCAATAACAAAAAAATCAGCAAATTGAATGACTCATTGGGGATACCAATTAGAAATAGGTTTGCATTGTTTTTTAATTAAGTCGGTTGTACTACAATGTGCAAACTCCCTTTAAACAGGATGCATGAGTGCTAGAACAAGATTAGCTGGCAGCTTATGGTGCTCCTTTAATTGCCCCTTATTGCTTTTCCTGTAGCCAGTGCACATTTTAATGTACCAATAATGTAAGTAATAAAATGACATGATGGACGTCCTCTTAATAACCGTTTTATAGCTGGTGTCAGCCAATGTTAAAATGTGGCCCGGAAAACTCAATAGAGAAATAAAATGGAAATGTTAATTAGTCAAGTTATTGCTGTCAAGATCTGATGACCATGTGGGGCCTTTCTCATCCCAAAGAGTAATGAATTGGTATTACTTCCCACCGCAATCTGGAGTTTAACATGCTTTCTCTGTCTTTATGGGATCCAGAGGCCGTCCTATAGAAATAACAGACTGAGATCGAGAAAAAGCTTTTCAAAATATTATTCTCGAGTGCCCCGCGGGCTTGCTGAACTTAACAGGTAATTATGAATGCTGTATACATCAGAATTCTCATTATTTGTGACAAGCTGTGTCTCAATTTATAATAGTCAGGATGACAATATTACTAAAAAGCCCAAGACTGTCTGTGACAAGTATCAAAATTCTGAAAGGAAGAGTTGCAGCACGAATGCAGCCAGTCCTTAGAAATCATGCGGAAAACAGGAGTTATTTCCAGTATATGCAGCATGATATGAAGAAAAATATGTATAAAAAAAAAAGCATTACACTGTGTTGTTACTTACATACTACCTGTCATCTAAACACTATGCTCTTGACAGGAAACACTAAGACAGTTACACAGGTCCCTCCCCCTGAGAAGGTAATATCAAAAGTGCCAGCAGGCAACCAGTCTGAATTTTACATAATTCCAAATTGGCAGATTTGACAAACTTCTCAGACATTTTCTGGATAGCTCTTAAACTCCAGTCCGCATGATTCTGCAATGAGCAACCTGTTTCACCCGTCCTGCAAGAAGGAAAATCAGAGGTACTTGGCTTACAGCTGGAGCCTAGCACCCGGAGGGGAAGGGGCTTAAAGCTAAGTGAAGTTTTAAGGTTCACATAAAGCCTCTATTGGCATGTAAATGTTTTTAAGAAATATAATTTACCTATTTTTTTAATGGTAAATGCAGCTGGAAAGCTGGATTTCTTATACAGGATACACGACAGTGCTGTAGAGGGTGTAAGGGATTGAGAAAGACTTTTACATCATTATTCTGAGCTCCTGCAGATAAGAGTAATGTGCTATCAAGCTACAGGCAGACCTAAGTGTGGCTATTTACTGCAAGGGTTATCAATGGTGCCAACATCTAATCAGTTAGAGCAGCAGCAGCAGATGTGATAGTGCAGTAATGATTTCACTGAAGAAGGTAAAGCATTGTTACCCTATTAAAGGAAGTGCCTCTAATAGGGGCATCTCTACATTGACTAAGGGAAAATGTATTCTTCTCTTTTCCTGCTGTGTCCTTGACAGGTAAATCCCCAGCTGGACACAGGAAGCAAAAAAAAAAAACCTGATAGGGCACAGTGCAGAAGGGAATTCTCAAAAGATTTGGGACCCTCAACATTCTCAGGATTAAATGGCAAAGTTGACTACTGGAATGAAGCTCCAGAGGTCTAAAGTAGGGATGTACCTATATAGTTTTTTCTCTATCTAGTACCAATATTTTTATGTCGGTACTCGTCTATACGGAGTACCGATATCGGTGCTTCCACTGGCATGGATTTGGCTTCCAGGCAATCAGGAAGCCGAGCAGTAGGTAAAGCCACTCGGTTTCCTGATTCTCTAGGAAGCCGGCTCCATGCTTGGCCAGCTCCATGCTGATTGGCCGGAAAGCCGGCTTTCCAGCCAATCAGCATGGATGCGGCTTCCCGGCCAATCAGGAAGCCAGGAGGTGGGTTATTACTTGCAGCCTAGCTTCCTGATTGCACGGGAAGCAGGCTCTATGTTCCCCTATGGCACTGCCTGTCAGAGGAAATCTTACTCTGACCAGAAGTTCTGGTATCGGGGAAAGGTATCAGAGAATTTGGGCGAGTAAGAGTACCCGCCCAAATATTAGTATCAGTATCAGTGCATCCCGAGTCTAAAGTAAGTGTGCCAGATAGACTATTGTCGGAGACCAAATATTCGGTGCGCGGAAGCCTAGTTTTTTGGATCTGCCAAAAAATAATTCAGTTGGAAGTGTTTGAAAAGAAAGATGCAACAAGTGCACCAATTATTTAAAAAAAAAAAAAAAAACTTAAATGTGTCTTTTCCCACAAAGAAAGCCTCACAATCTGTGGCAAATAAGTAATAGTTCAGAAAATTAGTTTGTCAATATTTGGTGCTTGTGTGCAGTAGTGCAGCAAGAGAATGACAGCACCAGTCAGTTATACATTCTACCATTCCTCCAAATAAACTATAGGTGATACAATATAGTAGATTATTTGACATTTGGTGGCTGTTGAGGAATGCAAATTGGCATATGTGACATTTTATATCAATGCACCAAAATAAAATGTCACATACGCCAATTTGTATTCCTCAACAGCAACTAATCTTAGCTTATCTGGCCCACTGTTTCTTTTTCTTTTTACTTACTTTTTATTGTTTGTTTTAACTTAAAGCCCAACTCAAGGGAAATGAAAATGCAAGGGCAGCCCCACTGCAAGGGATACAGTAACTGCTCATTTATACCTAGGGGGACAGGAAAAAAAAATCTGTTTTACTTACCTGATCCCCGCAACCGTCGACTCCCTCAGGGCTGCAGCCTTTTGTCCCCTTCGCTCTGGTGGTATAGGGTCTGTTGACATCCTCAGGTACAATTCAATAGCCCTGCATTGTACGGGGGGATGCCTGGGGAAAAGTCCACAGCTAAAGCGGAGAAGAAAATGGAGAGAGTGCTGACTGCCAGGGGGAAGCAGGGATCAGGTAAGTAAAACAGCTTTTTTCCAGTCAATTAGGCATAAACAAGCAGTTAAACTTTGCAGTGCAGGGGCAGCCCTGGTGTTGGGCTTTAACTATTTATAGGGTGGGCAGAAAAATAAGACTCTATATACAACAGCAGTATTGTTTATGTGCACTACAGACACATAAGGTATGTTGACTGTTTCTTAGATAGTATCCGGGTTGGTGATTACATGTGAGTGAACACCATCTTTTTTGTCTTTGCTTAGCGCAGTGTTGATACAATTGTACAGCATTTTATTACGCACAAGGCCCTGGTGTTATTAGTGTAGCAGATTGCTCTGTAACAGAGCTGAATTAGCGTTACTACATCTTAAAGCTATTACGTAGGATAAATGTTTCATTTGTGTGGTTGTTACATGGAAATGAACAGTGTTTAGAAGAAACAAACTGTTCGCTCGCCCCACTGCAGGGCTAATTGGCCAGGCTGAGGCGGTGTTTAATGTGGTTCCATTTTGTAACTATTTGTTATGGTTTAGAAAGCTAAACAGTTGTAAGTGAGGTGAATGGCTGTGGTTATTGAATAATGTCACACTCTTGTTACACATCAAACAGGCCACATCTATTACTTGGATCATTGCACTCTAGATGTATAGTAACAAAAAAAAAATGAGAGAAAAACATGTGAATTTATATCTTGAGTTCTGTTTTAAGCATTGATGTAAGCTTATTGTTTTGGGTTTATTTTACAATATTGCATTTTGCATTTATACTACTGTGCTTCACACTGGTTCGGTGGAGGCTTTTTGGTTTATTTTGGCCCACCTTACCATAACCTGTCTGGCTATACTTTCCCCTTGCTCCCCAAGTCCTTATTCATAGAAGCCATTGTTTCTTCTGCACTGATGATGGCCAACAAGCCTTGAACAGCTGTACACATTTTGGGGAAAAAAAATGGATCTATAATATTTGTGTCAATGCTATAAACCAGTGGTTCTGGATGTACAATTGGTCCAGGTGCATAAAGGAAGGAATGATTTGCATTGCTTCATCTACTATCCTAAACCAGGGCCGGACTGGCCATAGGGCAAACCGGGCACTTGCCCGGTGGGCCGAGACGGGCCGAACACAATCAACCTGATTGTGTTCGGGCCGGTCCGCTATGTCCGATGGCCGGCTGGTGGGGAAGGCCAGAAAAACACCTCCTCACCCAGCTCTTTCTACTCTGTGCTCTTTCCGGAGCTTGCTGGTGCTGTTCCTGCAGCCTGCACTGTCCCGGTACCGGAGATAAGTTCGAACTTTCGATCGATCACCGGCCGAGATATTAACATATGAATGGGCTGCGGTAATTTGCATATCAATAAGCCTCGACCCATTCATATGTAAATATCGCGGCTCATTTATATGCAAATCGCCACCCATCCCCCCGCTGCTAAGGAAGAGAAGACTGCAAGAACAAGGTATGTGTATAGTCAGGGATTTACTCTCCCTGCCGCCCCAAGTCCAGATTCCACAATGCGCTCCCCTCTCCGCCAACTCCCCCTACCCCCCTATCAATGGAGAATGGCAGGGGCGGCAGGGTTAGTTTTAATTTTTTTTATTGTTTTTTCCCCCCTTTTATTAGCACTTTTTAAAAAAAAAATATTTTTATTTATCTTGTCGTTTACTTTTTTTAAATAATTTTTTATCTTATTATTGTTTTTTATAATTATTTTCTCATTTATTTCTTAGTATTTTTTACTTTTTTATTCACCTTTTAATTTTTTTATTTAATTATTATTTTTTATTATTTTGTACTAATTTGTTTATTTATATTTATT